TGAGGTTTCACTATGTTGTCCAGGCTAGTCTCAAACTTCTGAGCTCAAGTAATCTGCTCACCTTGACCTCCCAACGTGCTGGGACTACAGACATGTGCCATGGTGCCCTGCCAATAGTTACAAGCTCTTATGTTTCTGTAGTTATGTACTAAAGTCTGAAAAATGACAAGAATGCACATGAAGAGCATGTATGTAATATGTGTAATGAAACCATTATAGGAAATACTATGTTTCTAAATATAATGCTTATTATTTGCAAACTATAAATTTGTTTGTTCCAAACTTGATGACTATTTTTATACTTTTCATAAACTGTAAAAAGAATTTTCAGAGGACTTAGTGACAAATAAAGGTAGATATAAAGCACAGTTAGCTAAAAAATATTCTCTATAGAAAGAAAGGTTGGAATTGAGAGGCCTAGGAGAGGCAGCCTCCATGTATCCATGAAATTACAGTTAAATTAGAAAGCAGAGAACAATCGAGTAGGTTTGAAAAGGGAGAAACAGCAAAAAAAAAAAAAATACACACAAATTTATGATAAAAATGATTAAAAGAGGTATCCATGAAGAGATGAACAAAATTTGAATATGCACTTAGCACATAGGGATGTGCAATCAATATACAACATAGTGTTTTGAATCCCAAATGCTGATATAATAACTACCAAATCCTGCAAACTCATAATGTTTAGCTGGTTTACTCTATAAGCTATATTTTCCTAATAATTGAAAGTAATTTTAATGAGAATAATAGCATGTATTTTATTTTATCAATAATTTCTTTTTCCTTGCTTATTTCTCTTTGCTACAAAATGGATTATTAAAATACTTTGAACATGAGTTAATAAAATATACACTTGAAAATATTTTTAGTTTTATTCTAAAAAAGAAATGAGATCAATATACATTTATAAATGTTATGAATAGTTACACAATTTCTGATTAAACAATAAAATCCAACATCTTTAGCCTCTCAAATGGTGCTTTTTCTTGTACAGATTTCTATTTAATTTTAGTATGAAATATTTGCTATATAAGAGAGAAACTATGAGACATTTATGTAATTTATAAATAATAAAAATTGAATAGCTGAGAAAACTCTGCCTATATTTAGAACAAAATTATTTTGGTAAATTATATGTCTCTTCCAAAATATTTTTTTCTCATTTCCTTACTTCCCTGGAAATAGTGTACTTTCCCACCCCTAGAATTTCTGTTTGTGCATTTGACTTGTTTTGACCAATGAATATTAACCAATATCAAGCATGCCAAGGCTTGCAATGTGGGGTTACTGTAGAGCTTGATGCCCTGTGTTTCCTCAATGTTAAAATCTACCATTGAGTAGTTACTATGCCTTCAGACTCAGTCCCAGAACATACCTGTGTAGGACAGAATTGCTCTTACAGACCTGAATTGGGAAGCAGAGCTGCCCCAACTACCATAGCCTGAAGCTGAGTGGCCCAGCTGACTTACAGATCATAAACAACTCCCCCCAAAAAACTAATTATCATGTAAGCCACTGAAATTGAAAGTAGTTTGTTCACAATAGCTAACCAATAGATATAATTATTTACAGGATAGAAATCACTTACCTGTTTGACCCATTCCCCTACTTTGTACCTAGAGACAATCAATCAACCTGAATATTTTGAACATTACTGTTTTGCTAAATGTAGTTTTATATCACATACATGTATTCACATATATAATTATATATACATAGTATATCTGAATGTATTATTTTTACTTCATTAGGATATATCATAATGTATATGGTAATCTGAATCTTATTTTTTTCCTCAATATAGTGTTTCTACCTTTTATCTATATTTTTATATGCAGCTGTAGTATATTCATTTACACTGCTCTGTGATATCCATTTTGTGAGTTTTCCCACATATTATTTATTCATGTTCATTACTATCATGTTACTTGGATGATTCTCATTGTTTGCTAATACAAGCAATACTTCAAGGAGCATTCTGTATATCTAGAGAATGTACATGTCGAAGCACATGCGTGAAAGTTTCTCTAGGGCATCAGTTCTCAAACTTCTGGCTTGAGGATTTGTATTTGTTAAAGTTCACCAGAGAGCTATAATAGAACCAAAAGGATGTGTTTCTGTGTCTGTGTGTCCATATGCTGATGTGTGTGTGTGTGTGTGTGTGTGTGTGTGTGTGTGTGTGTATACTTTCCTCATTGCTTGTTTTTATCAGGTTTGTCAAAGATCAGATGGCTGTGGATGTGTGGCATTATTTCTGAGGCCTCTGTTCCGTTCTATTGGCCTATATATCTGTTTTGGTACCAGTGCCATGCTGTTTTGGTTACTGTAGCCTTGTAGTATAGTTTGAAGTCAGGTAGTGTGATGTCTCCAGCTTTGAAGTCCCCTTTAAAAAATGATCAGACCTTTTGAGACATTCAGTAGTATGAGAACAGCACAAGAAAAGCCTGCCACCATTATTCAGTTACCTCTCACATGGTACCTCTCATGACATATGGGAATGATCACAATTCTAAGTGATATTTTGGTGTAGACACAGAGCCAAACCATATCATGCAGGTTGTCTGTTTACTTTGCTGACAATTTCTTTTGCAGTTGAGAAGATCTTAAGTTTAATTAGATAACATTTGTCAATTTTCGTTTTTGTTGCAATTGCTTTTGGTATTTTTGTCATGAAATCTATGCTAAATCCTATATCCAGAATAGTATTTCCTAGGTTATCTTCCAAGGTGTTTAGAATTGTATGCTTCACATTTAAGCCTTTAATCCATCTTGAGTTTATTTTTGTATGTGTTATGACTAGGGGTTCAGTTTCAATCTTTTGTATCTGGCTAGCCAGCTATCCCAGCACATTTGATTGAATAGGGAGTCATTTTGCCATTGCTTGTTTTTGTCAGGATTGTTGAAAATCAGGTTGTGCATGTGTGGCTTTATTTCTGGACTCTCTATTCTGTTCCATTGGTCTATTTGTCTGCTTTTGCACCAGTACAATGCTGTTTTGGTTACTGTAGTCTGGTAGTATAGTTTAGTCAAGTAATGTGATGCATCCAGCTTTGCTTTTTTTGCTTAAGATTGCCTTGGCTATTTAGGCTGTATTTTTGGTTCTGTATAAATTTTTAAATACTTTCTAATTCTGTGAAGAATGTCATTGCTAATTTGATAGAGTTTGGTTTCAGTCTTGGGTTGGTGTATATGTCCCGGAATTTATTTTTTTCTGGATTTTCTAGTTTGTATGCATAGAAGTATTCACAGTAGTCTCTGATGGTTATTTGTGTTTCTGTAGGTTTACTGGTAATTTTAGGATCAGTGTAACTCCCTTTGTCATTTCTAATTGTTTTTATTTGGATCTTCTGTCTTCTTTATTAGCCTAGCTTGCGGTCTTTTTTATTTATCTTTTCAACAACCATTGATTATTTGGATTCATCGATCTTTTGAGTTGTTTTCATATCTCAGTCCCTTTAGGTCTTCTCTGATTTTGGTCATTTCTTCTGCTAAATTGGGTGTCAGTTTACTCTTGCTTCTCTGGTCCATTTAGCTGTGATGTTAGTTTGATAAATTGAGATCTTTCTAAATTTTTGATGTGGGCATTTGGTGCTATAAATTTTCCTGTTAACAACTACCTTAGCTGTGTGCCAGAGATTCTGGTGTGATATCTTGGTTCTCATTAGTTTCAAATAAATTCTTACTTCTTGATTTCTGCTTTAATTTCATTATTTACTCAAACGTTGTCCAGGTGCAGGTTATTCAATTTCCATGTAATTGTATGGTTTTGAGTGATTATTTCTGACTTGATATTTAATTTTATTGTGCTGTGATGCAAGAGAGTAGTTGCTTTGTTACACTTCTCTTGCATTTGCTGAGGATTGTTTTGTGTCTAATTATGTAGCAGAGTTTAGAGTATGTGCATGTGGTGATGAGAAGAATTTATATTGTATTCTTTTGGGGTGAAGAGTTCTGTAGATACCTATCAGGTACTTTTGATCCAGTGCTCAGTTCAGATCCTGAATATTTTTGTTAATTTTCTGCCTCAGTGATCTATTTAATCCTATCAGTAGGGTGTTGAAGTCTCCCACTCTTGTTTTGTGGGAGTCTAAGTCTCTTTGAAGGTCTTTAAAAACTTGCTTTATGACTCTGGTTGCTTCTGTGTTGAGTGCATATATATTTAGAATAGTTAGGTCTTCTTGTTGAATGGAAACCTTTACCATTATGTAATACCCCTGGTTTTTGTCTCTGTTGGTTTAAAGTTTATTTTATCTGAAACTAGAATAGCAAACCCTGCTTTTCTCTGTTTTCCATGTGCTTGGTAGATTTATCTCCATCGCTTTATTTTGAGCCTATGGGTGTTACTACATGTTAAATAGATCTCGTGAAGACAGAATACCAATGAATCTTGGTTCTTTATCCAACTTGTCACTCTGTACCTTTTAACTGGGGTATTTTGCCCCTTTCCATATAAGGTTATTATTGATATGTGTGAATATGATCCTGTCATCATGATGTTAGCTTGTTATGCAGGCTTGTTTGTGCAGTTGCTTTATAGTGCCACTGGTCTGTATATTGGCAGGGTAGGATGCATGCATACACACCCTGTCATTGCTGGGAAGGTAAAACCCACCCATGTACACCATGTGTTGGCAATGTGATGTATGTGGTAGCTGTGGACCTGGAGGAAGCTGCAGTGGGGGTAGGGAATAGGCAGGCTGATATGTGGCCATGAGGGCTGCCTTGCTGGAGCTCTCTGCCAGTCAGGCACAGTCCACTGGTGCAGCAGGTATTATATTGGCCCCCAGGGGACCTGAGGCTGTCCTAAAAGCAGGCATGTCCAGGCTGGGGCCCTGGAAGAGGCCAGCATACCACGGGGTACTCAAATCAGGCTATCCTTATCTGATGGGCAAGACCACCTTGCAGAGTTCGAGTCTGAGAATTTCCCTGGGGATAATGTCTCCTGTGGTAGCATGTTAAGCCTACAGGGATGAGCATCCCTTGTCATGCTTTGCTACAGATGCTTAGGCACTAAACCCTTTGGGCTCTGCATCAGCTGGCAAGCTGCCCCTACCTCTTCTCTAAGCAGTTCTTCTTGACAACTCAAGTAAGTGTCCATGATAGTTAAGGGGTCTCCTTTTGCCAAGATTCCAGAGGCCTGTGGCAAGAGTGCATTGCTCCTTGTCAGTTCAACTCATCCATTCCTTTGGAGTTGTTGTAGGGCAGGAATGAATCCTCTGCATGGTAGCCTGCTGTAGGGTTCCCAGCTTCCTCCCACTTTAGCCGAGCTTTTGTGTTTTCCCTCCATCCACTCTCAATGCCTTCCCTCTGAAGATTTGTTCAAAGTGTACCAGTTGTCTTGGCCTTTTGATGGCAGTTGTTCTACCTGGCTGCGTCAAGGTGGCCATCTTCTACTTAACTGGATTTTATCGTGGAATTGAAAGTATTGCCATTGTAAAATGTGCTTCTTTATTTGTTTTTTGTTGGTTTAAAGTCTGTTCTGTCTAAAATTAGGATTGTAATTCCTGCATTTTTGTGTTTGTTGTTTGCTTGGTTGATTTTTCCCCGTTCCTGTATTGTGAGTATGAGGATGTCATTGCATGTGAGATGGATCCCCTGAAGTCAGCATAAGATTGGGTCTTATTTCTTTATGCAGCTTGCCACTATGTACATGGGGCATTTAGCCTGTTTACGTTCAAGGTTTCTATTGATATGTGTAAATTTGATCCTGTTATCATATTGTTATCTGGTTATTATGCAGACTTGTCTATGTGGCTGCTTTATAGTGTCACTGGTTTGTTTACTTAAGTGTATATTTGAAGTGACTGATTATCTTTCCTTTTCATATTTAGCACTCCTTTCAGGACCAGTTGTAAGGCAGGTCTGGTGATAATGAATTCCTTCAGCATTTACTTGTTTGAAAATGATCCTATTTCTCCTTCACTTATGAAGATTGATTGGGCTGAATATGAAATTCTTGGTTCAAATATTCTTTTAAGAATCCTGAATATAGACAATACGTCTTCTGACTTGCAGAGTTTCTGCTGAAAAGCACACTGTTAGCCTTATGGGGTTCCCTTTGTATGTGACCTGCCTCTTCTAACTCCCTTTTATATTTTTTCTTTCACTTGGACCTTGGCGAATCTGATGATTATGTGTCTTTGAGATGGTCTTCTTGTATAATGTCTCACAGAAGTTATCTGCATTTCCTGGATTTGAATGTTGGTCTTTCTAGCAAGGTTGGAAAGTTTTCATGCACAAGACCCTGATATATGTTTTCCAAGTTGCTTGCTTTCTCTCCATCTCTTTCAGGGACACCAGTGAGTCACAGATTTGGTCTGTTTACATAATCCTATATCTTTTGGACATTTTGCTCCTTCCTTTTAAATCCTTTTTTCTTTATTTTTGTCTGACTATTTCAGAGAGCCAGACTTTGAACTCTTAGATTCTGTCCTCATTTTGTTCTATTCTGCTGTTTATACTTGCAATTTCATTATGCAATTGTTGTAGCATGTTTTTTTATCGCTATTAGATGAGTTTGGTTCTTTTTTATAATGGCTATTTTGACTATCAGCTCCTGTATCATTTTATTGCAATGCTTAGATTCCTTGGATTGGGTTTTGATGTTTTCCTGAATCTTGATGATCCTCATTCCTGTTCATATTCTGAATTCTATTTCTCTCATTTCAGCTATTTAAGCCTGGTTAAGAACTCTTGCTGGGGAAATGTTATGGTCATTCAGAGGAAAGAAGGTACTTTGGCTTTTTGAGTTTTCAGTTTGATTATAACTAAATCAGCATGTCATTCATGTTAAGGTTTTTCAAAAGAACAGAATTTTCATAAGCAACCTGAAAACCTCCATTTTGTCACAAAGCTCATTGCAGGCAAGTCCTTTTCCTATAGGCCTAGGATTAATGTGCTGCTGGTAAGGAATATTGGCCTTCTAGTAAGATCAAATATGCTCTTTGATGGGCATGTGGAAAATAAAGTGAATACTCCCCTTAAAAACTTGAGGGCTTTGTTGAAGTAAATTAACATAGGTGAAGATTAATGTTTGCATTGCAATTTATAAATGAAAAGTTATTTTTATTTAAATTATCTCATTTACTTTTGTGGTTACTAACATTCTTTTGGGGATAAAGTCTTTCATTTCATAGTTTCAGATAAGGCTTTAATTCTAGTCCACTCCTGGGTCTTGGTGACACCCTCTATGATTACTGTTTACGTGCCTGCATTTCTTCTGTTGGGTGTTCTAATCTGTGGAGCTCCCTCAGGCAAGCGCTGCAGTTGGCAGACAAGCAGTATTATTGCCAGGTTGGCCTTAATTTGATGTCCATGTGCTTCCTGGGGAAACATGGGGTTGCACCTGCCTGCAGATTTCAGGCAGAAGTGGTACCTCTGGGTTGAAAGCTCTAGTGGGTGTGGCCCATCTGGCTATGGAAGGCAGTGGCGGGTTGAATTGCCTGCCCTGACCTCCTGGTGTTTCCAGAGCAACAGGAGCCTTCATCCTTCAGCAAATTCAGGGAAAACTAGGACTGCTGGGCCAGCAGCCCCAGCAGATGTGGCTCACCTGAACACCAGTGGCAGGGGTTGTGGGAAATGCCTGTCCTGCGTTCTGGGTACCTCCTGGGACAATAGGAGTCTGTACCCACTGGTTGAGTTCCCACAGGAGTGGAACTGCTGGGCCAAAACTCCAGCAGGCATTGCCTGCCTGGCTACCAGTGGCAGGGTTAGGCAGGTCACATGCCCTGCTGTCTGGGTGTTTCCTGGGACAACAGAAAGCTGCACCCTCTAGTTCAGTCCACACAGAAGCCAGACCGCTGGTCCAGAAGCCCCAGCAAGTGTTGCTTGTCTTGCAGGGTCAGCAGAGTCACATGCCCTACTGCCCAGGTGTTTCCTGGGACAACAGGAGGCTTGTGCCCCTCAGCTGAGTTCTCTCAGAAGCAGGACTGTTGAGTCAGAAGCTCTACCAGGGGTTGCTTGCCTGGCTATCAGCAGCAGGGGTAGATGTGGTTGTCTGCTTTACCATCTGGTGCTGGTCTGGTCTGGGTTAAGAGGCTTGTGGAGGTCCCCTTGAACTTGATTGTTGCCCCTGCAAAATGTCTGGGTAGCTCTCTCCCTTAGTCTGGAAGCACAGTGGGGGCCAGGCAGATTTTCCTATTCCCAGTCTTGCACAGGCCTCTGTGAAGAGCATGAAGCTCCCCGGGAGCTCTCACTCACTCACCCTTTCTCATTTTTGGAGAGGTTCTTCCAGCTCCACTGTGATCCCAGGTGACGAGCTTTGCTCCTCTCTACTCTCTGTATTCTCCTGCTGCCTTGGTGGATTCCAACACGGTTTCTCAGATGATTGACCTGCAGGATCAGTGTTCATTAGCCTTTTAGTTCCTCTCTGTGAGAGTGGCACATATAAGCTGCTTCTAGTCCACCATCTTGACCCCATCCCTCATCATTATTTTATTTACTTTTGCCTAAGTCACTTTTTTTAATTTTTTTTTTTTTGCCTTGCTTTGCCTTTAGTTTGTTTACTTTCAACCTTTTATTTCCTTAGAAGTTTAGTGTGCCCCCTGGAAAAATCATATACCTGAATTTCTTTTTAGCCAAACTGAAAAATCTTTGTCTGTTATTTTAGTTTCTACTTTAGTCCATTTGTGTTTATTGGATTTGTTCATGTGTTTGTATTTCTGTCTAAAAACTTATTTTTAAAATTCATTTTCTATTTGTATCATTTATTCTAGTGCTTTTTTCCTCCTTTCCCATTTTCTTTTAGATAGATTAGGTGTTTCTGAGTGTAAGTTTTTCTTACCCATTTCTTTTAATTCTTATACTGATTTGGAAGTTGTATGCTCTATTACTGTTCTTACAGTGATCACACTTAACATTTTACCATGCTGACTTAATTTAGTAAAGTCTAAAATTGATCAAGGTTTTACCTTCTCTTCTTTTTTTTTTTTTTAAGACGGAGTCTCACTCTGTCACCCAGGCTGGAGTGCAATGGCGTGATCTCAGCTCACTGCAACCTCCACCTCCCAGGTTCAAGCAATTCTCTTGCCTCAGCCTCCTGAGTAGCTGAGATTGCAGGTGTGTGCCACCGTGCTCAGCTAATTTTTGTATTTTTAGTAGAGACGGGGTTTCAACAATTTGGCCAGGCTGGTCTCAAACCCCTGACCTCATGATCCACTCACCTTGGCCTCCCAAAGTGCTAAGATTACAGGCATGAGCCACTGTGCCCAGCTTACTTTCTCTTCTTAACAACACATCAACTCCGTTGTTAATATTATATCATTTTTTAAACTTTTATAAGCATTTCTATTTGTTTATTTTTACAAGCATTTTATTTATTTACCTACACAAATATTTGTATATACTTACATGTTTACCAAATTTTTTGCTCACTATTTCTTCCCTTTCAGATCTTCTGCCCCTAAAATAAATACATCCTTAGTAGTTTCTGTAGGAGAGGACTGCTTTGTTTAGTTGGAACATTAATACTTGTGTGTGTGTGTGTGTGTGTGTGTGTGT